CGTAATGCTCTGACAATCCATCAGCAGTGCGGCTTACCAAAGTTGTACTAAAACATTTTTTAACAGATTTCTGCCAAAATCGGTTCGAGGTCAGTAAGCACAACCAGAATTCATACATAAGGCACACTCTCGATTTTTGAGAAAATTAAAGGACTTTAAGTGTGGAAAATACGTTATACAGAAGAAAAGCATATACCGTGATATATATCGTTACCGCACGTTCTTCAAATTATATCGCGATATGAATTAAGGCCATATCGCCCAGCCCTACTTCATTCAAATAAGTGTTCAGAATGATGCAGTGCGTGGTTTGTCCCTCTGAGCTGTTTAAATAAAGCTGTTTAAATGAGATGAACAGGAGTGGGATCAGCTCAGGTGTTTGCATTAAAAGGATTTGTAGTCGTGAGCCTGATGATGAGGAGAAGCCGAGACTCCTCTCGGAGCTCCTCGCAGCGACGACTCCCAGCTTCGTCTAGCGACAGGCGCAGGACGAACACGGTGACGACACGAGCGTCGTTCACAGTGAGGCGCCGCTGCTCCATCACTTCTGCTCATTACAGTAAAATATTTGAGCCAAAGACTCCACCAGCGTCCTTCTATGAAGCCTCTGTGACTGAACACAGAGTGGAAATGAGCGTGTCGGCTGTTGCCGACAGTTTGGTATAACCTCAGCTGCCTCCATGCCACAGCAACAGACCTGCAGCGGCTCGCTGAGGTTCTTCCTGATCCGAGGGAAACAGCATTTTCTTACTGAGCAGCTTAAATGTGGAACCATCTACACGAAGAAGGAACCTTCATCATAAAAACATCATCATGAACACAGTGAAGGACACCAGCGGAGGGAAGCCACTTCATGTTTTGGGTTATCTAAGATTTCCTCCATCGCTGACCCGACTCACAAAAGAGAAAAGTCACGACAACCATGTAAGACAGCAACACAACAGCAGACACTACTAAACTGCAGAGAACCTATTATGCACTTTGACCAAGAGCCACAGCCTCCTGATTGGTAGGGAGACAACCAATCAGAAGGTCAGTGGACTGAAGGGCAAGATACTGAACCCAGAGTGCGAGAGTGGGACTGTTAGACAAGGCGATTAGGCACAGGAAAGAGTGTTTGTAAATGAGGGTTGTATAAAAAGTCAGATAATATAAATCCAGATTATCATTAATTGTGTGGAGCAGGGGTGTCGAACTCCAGGCCTCGAGGGCCGGTGTCCTGCAGGTTTTAGATCTCACCCTGGGTCATCACACCTGAGGTCATTAGCAGGCCTCTGGAGAGCTGCAAGACATGCTGAGGAGGTCATTTAGCCGTTTAAATCAGCTGTGTTGGATCAAGGACACATCTAAAACCTGCAGGCCCTCGAGGCCTGGAGTTGGACACCTGTGCTGTAGTCCCACGCTGAGTCCAGAGTCGTTGAGTCAGCGTGATGTTTACAGCCTGATGTTCTCGAGCATTTCAGTCAGTCTGACAGCGTTGCTATGAATTATGCGATGGAAATATCTCCTTTCATAAATGGACCCTCAAGTGTTTACTACACTAAAGGAGCTCATAAAGCAGGGGTGGGAACTCCAGGCCTCGAGGGCCGGTGTCCTGCAGGTGTTAGATCACACCCTGGGTCAACACACCTGAATCACATGATTAGTTCGTTACAACTTCAGGAGATTTAAACGAGCTGTGTTGGATTGAGGACACCGGCCCTCGAGGCCTGGAGTCCCCCCATCCCCGTCATAAAGGAAGCACTGAGGCCCTTTCCTTCATATACAAACAGCTCTGACTCCAGGTCATCTCCAAAATGCTCTAATCTCCTAAATCAGCGGTCTCCAACCTTTTTTGCACCACGGACCGGTTTATGCCCGACAATATTTTCACGGACCGGCTTTTAAGGTGTGGCGGATAAATACAACAAAATAAAACTAGTACCGGTACTGAAAAAAAGAAGATTTATTCATAACACACGTGAAAAGACCCAGGAAAACCGAGTTAACGATAAAAAACGATAACAAAATAACGCTGAAAACAGATAAAAACCCTGAAAACAAAACCTGAGCCTCAACTCGCGCGGCCCGGTACCAAACGACTCACAGACCGGTCCGAGGCCCGGGGGTTGGGGACCGCTGGCCTAACAGGTTTCAACTTTGGGATAAATCTTTGTTCGTAGGAAACACAGAGTTCTGTGAACGTCATCACCGGGAGCTGCTCTTAGTACAGATCAGGTCCAGAGTCTCATAGAGGGAGAGCACGTCTAAAAACACTACAACTTCTCAAATATGGCAAAAATTAAACTCAGTTATCACTTCGTTGTGTTGCTCTTACCACTTTTAATAACCTCTGTATGCTTTGGTTTACTCACAGGGCCTCCTCACACTCCTCTGACCCTCAGGTGTGCGACGAATTACCTGCGAACCACACACCTGACTCCTGGGCTCCTCCTGCTTTGGCAAAATTCTCAGGGTTGCAAATTTACTGAATTTAAATCTCCGCCGTGATTTTGTCTCCCCGCACTTAATTAAACACGATCAACCAATAGTGACGATTCATTCTCCCTACATGAGCCAATCACAGCTGTCCCCTGCACACCAGATTAAAGTCAGATAAACAAACAGGACGCAACCAAAAGCCACAGCAGAAGGTGAAGCACTCGCAAACAGCGTAACTGATTGGACCGTCCGACAAAACATGACAACCTGCAGCATAACGGCCGCACGGAGCACGAGGAAAACGAGGCAGCAGCTGCAATCGTGAAGCGCCCGCCATCACCTCAGGTGTCCATAAAGGTGAGAGCGTCCATCGCACTAACAACATGAAGCGGACGCACACTCACAGCGCGCCTCGGCTGGATCGCAAAACTTCTACAAAGATACAACAAAACACACGCCACATCTTTATGTGACATATTCAGACCTTTCAAACACAACAGAAGTAAACAATGAAGCGAACAGCTTGGCGTCGACGGCGTCTGAGTTGGTCGGAGCCTTTTACGCTGCTCTGACAGGATAAACAACCTCAGGGTTTCTGTTACGTCAGCAGAATTTAAATGGACTCTGGTGGGCGCTTTTATTCACAGAATATGAAAAACTTTATTTATACCCAATTTATGAAGATACTTTGAAAAAGCACGAATGCTAATAACGATAATAACACAATGACAGCGTCGCCGCTCTCAGCTGCCGGTGTTTACCTGGGAGATGTAGTCGAACACTGAGCTCGGCTCGTAGTGCAACTTGTAGTCCAGCTCGGTTACGTCGCTGTGGTGAAACGGCCCCAGGTGGTGGTTCCCGTGGTGACCGTGATGCTCAGACTTGATGTAGTCGAGGCCACTGATCTCCATCTTGATCTGGTCCTGGCCCAGCTCGGCAGTGGACAGCGGCTGGATCTCTGACAGGTCCACGGTCCTGATGGGGTCCAGGTCACCGTCCTCCGGCTCGCTCTTCACGCACGGCAGCATCACCAGCGGCTCTGCGATCTCCGCCGCCAGTGAACTGAGCGTGGGCGTGGGACAGTCGGAGGAGAGGAGGGCCAGAGTGGGCGTCGGGGTTGAGCCGACGGGCCCGGCGCCGCAGTCCACCTGCAGGGAGGAGTCCAGCGGCAGGGGAGGCGAGCCGCATTCGGGGGGCAGGCCCAGGCTCAGGCACTCACTCTCCAAGTCTGTCATGGTGAGGGGGCGGAGCTAATCCTCCTCACCTGCTCCGTTTCAACACCTGAGGTATTGCTGAGGTTGGTAAAAGTCCTCCTCCTCCTCCACTCCCCTCCTGCTGGTGACGTCTCCTCACAGGAGGAGGGGCTGGGGGGGGAAGGGGGGGGGTGGGAGTCCCTGAGAGCGTCCTCTGGAAAACGATGACGTAGTGAAAGATCAGCCAGATGTCAGCAGGTACGGCTGACCATCACGAGCCTGTAGAGAGACAGAGGAGTTGATTACCATGACAACAGCAGCTAAAGCCAATCAGAGTAACATGAGGAAACCCCCAACACTGCAGCACCTCTGAGCATGAAGGCCAGGTATGCAAGCATATTCTGAAACCAGGATTCCCCCCACGCCCCCCAGGGGCTTGAGGCCACCACCGTTAGTGTCCGGCCCTGGCGCCTAATGTGTGCTGACTGGTGAGAGGTTTTGAGGCTGCACCTGCAGCATGAGCACGCCTGAAACTCTGAATAACTTTACAGCAAACATTTTTACACTTTCAGGGGAGCAGATACCAGCGCCAACGTTAGAGATGACTCTTGGGAACATCCCTATAAACAGCTGCTGCGGTTCCGTTTCTGCACTGGTGCATGACAACAGTAAGACTGCAGTCAGCCGGTCACCGCCATCATGCAGACAAAGCTGATGTGGTGGCAGCTGTAAATGGGGCACAGGTCGGCCTGCAGAGGTGCGCTGTTTGCAGGAGCAGGATGTCATTAGAAGAGACAGTCAGCTGCTGCAGCTGTGTGTGCAGCGGCCTCCCACACACATGCACTGAAAAGTTTTCAGGTAAAGTAGAACAGCCGCTCTGTGCACAGTGCTGCAGCTTCCTAGCCTCCCTGCTGCTCAGGTGAACATTACCTGCGCTCCTCCCTTCCATATTACCTGTCACCCCGCGAGCACTCAGGTGGCCCCTCCACTCGCCACGCAGCCGCCGCACTGCCTGCCTCCCGGGCTGCTGGCGGTGGTTCTCCCCGGAGGTTGCTCCTCTCCGCTGTCGCTCTAACACCTCCACATTCTTCGCCAACTCTGCACAACTTTTACTGCGGTTCGCACACACAAACCCACGGCTGCCAGCGGAAGGACACGCTCCGCAGCCGCCACACAGCCCTACAAAGACGGGCAGGCTGCCATGTCTATCTGGCTGGCTGGCTAGCTAGCTAGCAGCTAGCCAGTGGCCATCTTGTTTATCGTCTGCAGCCTGCTAAGCTAGCGCGCTGCTGCTGCTACTGCTAGCGGGGGGAGAAAGTGAGAGTGAGGCGGGGAGAGGGCGCAGCGGGGGCAGCGGTTAGCCTGGCCCCCTCCCCGGGGTTCCGGCGCTACGGCGAGCGGCTGACATCGCAACACAAAAGGAGCCAACAAACTACGGAGCCCGAGCGGCAGCACGGCGGTCATCGAGCGTCCGGCGGCGCGGTAAAACGGCAGGAAACCGAGCGGAGCGACGCGGCGGCGACGCCGAGCAGGCGGCCGATAACGGCAGGACGTTACCTGCGGGTGGTCCGCTTCATGGCCGGCTGGCTGTCCACCTCGGTTCGGCTCCGCTGCCCGTCACTCGTAGCTCACTCCGCCGGACCCGCCACGTCCACCTCGGCAGAACACCCGCCGCCTCGCCTCCTCTCCTCCCCTCTATCACTGACTAATTCCGCTCCCTCCCTCCTTCTTACCTTCCTTTCCTCCCTCCTTCCTCTCTCGCTTCTCCCCCCCCTTTCCTTCCTTCCCTCCCTCCCTTCTCGCTCGTGCACATACCCGTTCAGTCGGGTATGTAGGTAACTATGACAACGGTAGTAGGTGGGTACAGCTCTCGGTGTGTGCACGCGCAGGGCGGGTATGCGCTCGCTACATTGTTGCAACACAGACACCGTCGTCCCCTCGCGCTCCCTTTGATCTCGGCTTGTTTCCATCCGCACGCGCCGGTGTGTTAATATGAATGAATAGGGAACAGCACGCGCCCGCTGAGCCGGGTCAAGGCGGTCAAGTGCAGTCGAGTGACGTCAGCACGTGTCCATGGGGTGGGCGTCTTTTTTTTTTTTTTATTAAGGCGGGTATCAGCTGCTAAAACCGGGGCCAGCTAGCTGAACAAAAGCAGGTGGGCGTCTTTGAAAATATCTTTCAAATAAAATACTTTTTTTCTTGCAAAATATATCAAAAGTAAGAGCGCGCCATCTGTCCTGCTACCAGTTAAGAATTTTACAGAAACAAGTTCAGGGTGTATGAAACAGCTGGCATTCCCATAGTTGCCAGTAGGTGTATGTAAAACCTGAAATTTATTCAAAGCCTTTTGAAATCAGATGACTCTTTCTGATACACCCTGTATTAATGCAGGACTGTTTTTTTTATTGATAATGTTGATCACAGTCACACAGATTGGCTGTCCTTATATGGTCATCTTAAGAGACCCTACCCACCTACTGTTTAAACCTGCCAATCAGGTGAATACTGGCTGAGGAAGAGGAGGGGGCAAGGTGTTTGTTTCAGGGCAAAGTGAAAGTGAGAGTGGTTTGATTCCACAGACCCAAATCCCCTTGGGGGGGGGGAGTCACTTAAAATCAAACAGGTAGACCTTCCCACTGTGGCGCCCCCTTGTGACAAGGCGAAGCAGCTTATAGAAGCTTCGTGTCAAAGTTTGGTATTTTTAGCCTTTATGAACGTTTTGTATTTGAGTCTAAATTTGGAAACACTTTAACCTCAACCTAGGACCTGGCATCACATTTTGGGTTATTTAGACCAAAATACTCAATTTTCCTCTACAAGGGCCTGATATCCACTTACGAGGACATTATGCTGCTACTGTTCTATCAAAATTTTAAACGAATATCCTCATATGTGGCTCTCATTTTTCTTAAAAACAAAAATAAGGAAAAAAAATCTGGTAATTCTTTGTTTTTACATTCATCGGGCCCCAATCAGCCCAAATATCAAAGAGAAATCAAAAATGCTGCCGTGGAAGAGTTCGGGTCTTAGGAGGTTAAAGAACAGTCAGCGTCCCAGCCGGTAGTTATGAACATTTATTTGTTTCCTTTGAATGTTAACACTACAAAGTACCCATTCTGCTCGACTAAAACAGGCAATACATTTCTTTCTTTTTTTTAAAAAAAAAAACAGCCACCGTAGCCTTCATCATCATCATCATCATCATGGCAGACCGTGTAAGTTGGTGTTTAATGACATTCAGCCCATGCAGCGCTGATAAAACCAGGCACAAAGTAAACAACCAACACATCAGAGTCTGATAACTCACTCAGAACTGACACTGGTCACACAAGGTCAAAGGTCACATCAAGTCTGACTTTTAAAAATAAAAATAAAAATCCTGAATCAATCTACCATTTGGCTGATGTCCATTAAAAAAACAATAAAATAAAATAAAAAAACAGGGAACATTTTATAAAAAGTATTGCATCACATCCAAAAAATGAGATGAACTGTTCTTTGACATACAGCGTTCATCAAGATTAAACAGGAAGTAGAAATCCATATTTAAAGTTTAAAACAAACCCACCCCCGAAACAAGTTCCCCCCCGTGTCTTCACAAAGAGCCCGACTTACAGGAAAACCTCCAACTGGAAATATTAACATGAAAAAAACAAACCCGTTCGCCCCTCATTCACACGTCTGTTCCCTGAAGAACTCGCCAACTTTTAAGGATTTTTATTAGTTTGTCACACCCAAAGTTTTAACTACAAAGGACTGAAGTACGAGTACCACACAACCACTTTTCACTGCTAACAAAAAAGAAAAAAAAGAAGAGCTCTGCGATGAGATTGCACGAATGTTTCAGTACTAGAAATGATACGACGACACGTTACAGCCACGGACCTCTTCTGGAAGAGAAATGCATCTGGTCAGCTACAAACACAATAAATGAATAAAGACCACCAGCAGGGAAATGTTACTCATTAATTATAACTTCAGAGATCAGGGTTTCACTCAATTATCACCATCTGGAAAGAGTTCACATTTTGCGTTGAGATCAGATTTACTGGAGCTCCAACATGGGCGTCAAACAGCACATAAACAAATGACGACAGTAGTATCACGCATTTATGTTGATATCCAGGTTTTTAAACAAAGTTACGCCACTCCTCTTCAAAGTTATTTCTAATATCATGTTTGTTTCTAGGCAGATGCATTCCTCTGTGTAAACAAGGACAGGAGGAGTTGTCATTGGTTAAACAGGTCACATGATATCTCCAACGATCAGTGGTCCGACTCTTCAGGGCAGCATTAAAGTCAAACGGACGAAGCTTGTTCCTACACACTGTACATAAAAGATGGACATAAGGCTGTTCTCTGGTGTCCAGCAGGAGGCGCCTCCTCTGGTCCGAATGGGAAAATGAGCATCCTGCTCAGCTGATCTGAGCTCAGTAAACCCTGTTCTGATGTGTTTATGGTTCAGGTCTGACTGGAGAAAACAGGAAGTTTATTTTGGAGATTTTGGTCCCATCAGTCACGGAGGGGCAGGAAGTCAGTGCAGAAATCCATCTTCTTGCATCACATCTGCTTTCTGAAAGCTGAGACGGTAAAATCCGTCAGCTCAACGCGCTGACCACTGTTTATGCCCATCTTTTACATACAGTCTATTTATGGCCTGTGATGGCAGCTGTGTGACATAAAGAAAAAAAGGCCTGACGTCATCATAAACCTGTGATCTCTCATTCAGGTCATCTCCTCTGGCACCTCCGCCCAGTTTTGTTCTGTCCCGTTATGCCGAGCGAAGCTGCTTCAGGCTTCAACTCTCAGGAAGTAAAATCTGACGAATGGAGCGATCCGGCCGACCGATGGGAAAAATACAGTCTGGACTTTATGTTCTGGGTTCGGTTAATTCTGTCAGCACAAGCAGCCACACGAGGTTTTCAAAAGTCCAACAAGTTCTCAGTTTTTACTGAAATGTAGAAATTTGAACAAAGCAGTTTTGTAGCTTTATTCATGTATGCACAGTTTAGAGGTCCAGAACCCTAAAATCATATTAAATAAAATATTAACGGTGCAAATTTAGTGCTTCACACATCTGAAGTAAAAGGAGAGCTCTGGGCTTCTGTCAGGAAGGCCACGGAGACCCCGAGGATTCACGGAGCAGCTGAAGAAAGCTTTATCCGCCGCCCGGTGTTTGGCATTCCTCATCTGTCTACAGCTTTAACCAAAGAAACGCCCCACAGCCACGTCAGGAGTGACAATGTTGGAGTCTGTCCACCAGAGGGCGCTCTGCCACTTTCCTATTGGCCAACACAGTTGATGGAAAGGCTGCTGCAGAGAAGGATGCTGGGATGGGGCAATCTGGTTAATCCGTCAGCTGAAGAACAGGAGAGAGCGAGGGGCGGCTGCAGGAGGCGCACAAGGAGGGAGCCTTAGAGAGAGATCGGCCAAATTGAGCTCATTCGGATTTTTCTGAACTTTAACGGACGTCCGATCCTTCTGCCGCCGGTGCGTAAAAACCACAAAAGTGAGCTTTTCTTATCACCTGATTTTGTACACACGGAGCATCCTGACAGGAAATTAAACTTCTGTTTGACAATAAAAAGAATTTCATTTTTACACCTTTACACCTTTAAATTCTTCACTAATGTAAACAGTTATTTACTTAAACTCAACTTAATATAAAAAAACCCAAAAAAAACAAACATTTTTTGTCAGATTTTGGATTCCGTATGAATCAAACCTTCAAAGAATAAAGACATAAAGAACAAAGAAACATCTCATGTCGAGTGGTTTGTCAGACCAGGCCTGTGGAAAAACTAAAATCTGCTCATTGATCAGGTGAGATTTCGCCGCTGCGCTTCAGCTGAGGTAATGAGGTCTCATGGAAACAGGAAGTCAAAGAAACACTTGAAAAATGAGGTACGAGAACGAGACGAAGCGGTCGGTGAAGCAGAGACAGGACAGTAAAAAAAGTCTGATTTTCGCCTGAGTTCTGGATCCTCCAACGGTCAGACGGCCCGGCTCGCAGACGGTTTCATTTTGTGCTTGTTCAAATCGAACCACGGCGCTCTGCAGAGCTCGCCGTCGTATTGCTTCGGAGTTGAAAAAAAGGTTCACACATTTACGCTGCGTGAAACAACGGATTCTGTGATTGTTCGTGCTGACGTTTCTCAGAGATAAAAACTCTCAGGATGAATAACTTCCTGTCACCTGATCCTTCCTCCCTCCATCCTCTTCCTCCAGCAAAACATGAAAACGACACGCAGAGTAAATCTTTAGATTTTCTTATTCAGAGTTTGACTTGGCGAACACTAAAAGATTTAAAACAGATGTTTACGTTGCATTTAACTCTTTGACAGAGTGAAAAATTTGAAATACATAATGAAAAATGTAAGAATGCAAATGTTAAAGCAAAAAAATTTAATTCAGGGGAAAAAAAATGCCACTCAAAGTAAAACCCAATGTTATGTTTTTTGGTAGGAATGGGCTTCCGTAGAGGACACAGCAGACTTACCAAAGATCAAATCTCCAGCTGATGAGCTACAGAAGCCCAGTTGTGCAAGAAAAGTGAATATTTGCCTTTATAAAATCAAAATGTTTCACAGCCTACGAAATCCTGAATTAATGAAGAATAAGTCAAAGTTTCGATCTCATAATCCAGCCTTCATGATATAAACTGACGGCTGCAGTTCCTCTGACGCCCAGCAGAGGCAGCAGTGAGCCAGCCCCCCTAGACTCCCATGTTAAAATAAACACGTTGGTCTCTGTGGATCATTTCCTCTTTGTAGAACCTGTACGGGGGCAGAATGTTTTCACAACTCACCTGTTTAAAGGTTGCAATATTAGGGGCGTGGCCTCAGATAGGTGGATGGTGACACAGGCGGCTGTAGCTGCTAGCTTCACCTCACCCCATAATATGACTGCTGTGTCAGCTGGTTTAACCAGTCTGTGGGTAAAACGCTAACGCTGAGGTGACTCGTAGCTTCATGGAGTTAAATCATGTCTGACAAACAAAATATGAGAAAACAAAGAAATTCTGCAAGTGTGACACATTTTGTGTTGGTGAGATGGAAGGAGGAAGGAGCTCACCGCTGAGCTTCACATGCAACTGAAGACACCTCCGATGGACAGGAAGTTGTTCCTTCCCTGTTTGTTTCCGTCCTCGGAGTTGATCGAGGAACGCTGATAAAACCACAGACGTGGACTCGACGATAATCCAAAGAGAAACCTAAAAAAGGGCACTTCAAAACCAAACGAGTAGAAAACGTGTGCACGCCGCACGGACACAAACCAGCAGGCAGCGCGCAAAGAAGCAAAAACCAAGCCTACAATTTACAGGAGGAGGATGTGTGCGTGTTTTTCCTCAGTTACCCCTGACCTTTGACCTCCTCCGCCTCAAAGGTTTCTGCACTGGTTCAGATTCACGCTGTCGAGTCAGCTCCAAAAAACGTTTCCAGGTTCTCAAATGTGCGAATTGGCCTCCGTACAAACCCAAAGACATGCAGACTTTACACCGATCGTCCTCCTGAATTTGAGGCTTTAATTTTGAAATTCTTCTAATAAACTTCAAATAAATGTCAGATTTTTCCTCGCTCGTCTTCCTGTTGTTCGACGAAACGTTAATAAACGTGACAATTTTAGATTTCTTTCTGTTTTGAGCTCGAATTTCAGAAAAATTATGAATTAAAAAAATAATCTGAAAATAACCGAATTTCAGACGCAGCGACTGTTTTGTTTTGTCTGAAGTTTTTCTGGTTAAGAAATAAAAAAGAGAAAACTTTCAGGAATTTTAAATATTTGAAGAAACAAACATCAAAGTTAGAAAAAAAAAACTTTGGCAGAACGTTTTCGTTTCCGTTTCCTGTCGCCGAGCCGGATCGTTCAGAACCCGGGATCCCGCTCCGGGGTACCAATGACAGCAGGCCGCTCTGATTCGAGGTCAGTTTTGCAGTTACTTCCTGTGGCCTGTGAAAGTGTCTGTAACAGAAGAAAACGTCCTGCTGCGCTCGCCTGCGTACCGTCTGGTCACAGATCAGGATTGGTCGCTGTGATGCTGAGTCCGGATGTGGCTGTGGAGACGCGTTGCCGAGGAGAACCTTTTGCCGCAGTCGGAGCAGCGGAGTGGCGAGGCAGCTCCGGCGGGCGGCGACGAAGGCGACGATGTGGCGGCGTTTCCGGCGCTGTGAGTCTGGCGGTGAGCCTTCAGGAGGGATATCCGGCTGAACCTGCGGCCGCACTCCTCGCACTCAGACCAAACCCGCCGCCGCTTCCGCTGAAAGACAGGAAGAGATGTCAGCTCGCCATCTAAACATTAAAAATCAACCTTTGTCTGCTTCCTGCCCTCTTGTGCGCTCCTCACCTTCATCCCTTTATCCTCCTCATCTTCCTCCTCTCCCTCCTCCTCCTCTCTCCCGGTCTGAGCAGGCGGCTCGACGGCGTCTTGCGGCCTGATGGAGCCGTCAAACGCCAGACACCCGAGCGTCTCCTTGGCGGTGGCTTCCTCATCGTCATCGAGCAGCTGGGAGGGGAGCGTGAGGAGGCGATGAAGCATGGAGGCTGAGGACCGTTGACCTGAAGGAGGGAGCGAGGTCAAAGGTCACGGTTTCAGATTCCTCTCAATAAAAACATCATCAGATATTTTTACAAACACTTTAAGTTTTCTGACTTTTTATTCATGAAACTCAAAATCATGCATCCCGTTTCTCCCACTTCTCCTTATAGGGTCATGGGGGGTGGAGCCTATCACTGTGACAGGGGGAGAGGCGGGGCACACCTGGACAGGTCGCACCCAAAACTAAAGCGCAGCCGTGAAATATTCATACATATAAATGATCATTAACCCTTTAAAACCGATCAGAGCGGCACGCTCTGTTTTGCGTAACTATTTTTAAATCCCGGTAGCTCTGCAACCACGTGAGCTAGCGCAATAATTGTTTTTGCATATGAAACCGGAGGAGTTGTACTTACATCTTATGCCATCAGCTTGTCCTCGGTCACAGTTTCCTTCCACATATAGCTTTGCAAAAACTGCA